TACTACTAGTATATATTACGTCATCTAAGACACACTATTGATAAGTATTAACTTTATGACTATATAAAACTAATGTACAATCCCAATTCCAAAAAATTGGGACGCTGTGTAATATGTAAATAAATGTAAATAAAAACAGAATGCAAAGTTTTGCAAAACTCACAGACCCATATTTTATTCACAGTAGAACACAGAACACATATCAGATGTTGAAAGTGAGACATTTTACCATTTCATGAAAAACATTGTCATTTTGAACTTGATGGCAGCAACGCATCTCAAAAAGTTGGACAGGGGCAACAAAAGGCTGGAAAAGTAAGTGGTACTAATAAAAACAGCTCGAGGAGAAATTTGTTACTAACTCACATGACTGAGTATAAAAAGAACATTTTAGAGAGGCGGAGTCTCTAAGAAGCAAAGATGGGCAGAGGTTCACCAATCTGCCAAAAACTGTGTCTAAAAATTGTGGAACAATTTCAGAAAAATGTTCCTCAATGTAAAATTGCAAAGACTTTAGATATCCCACCATCTACAGTACATAATATCATCAAAAGACTCAGAGAATCTGGAGAAATCCCTGTACGCAAGGGACAAGGCCAGCGGTCAGTATTGGATGTTTGTGATTTTCAGGCCCCTTCAGGCGGCACTGCATTAAAAATAGGCATGATTCTGTACTGGAAATCACTGCATGGGTTCAGAAACACTTCCAGAAATCACTGTTTATGAACACAGTTTGCCGTCAATCCACAAATGCAAGTTAAAACTGTATCAGGCAAAGAAGAAGCCACATGTCAACATGATCCAGAAACACCGCCGTCTTCTCTGGGCCAGAGCTCATTTAAAATGTATGGAGGTGAAGTGGAAAAATGTCCTGTGGTCGGATGAATCAAAATTTGAAATTCTTTTTGGAAATCATGGACGCTGTGTCCTCCAGACTGAAGACCTCCCAGCCTCCCAGCATCCATGATGGTGTGGGAGAGCATTAGTGCACATGGCATGGGTGTCTTGCACATCTGTGAAGGCACCATTAATGCTGAACGAAATATACAGGTTATGGCAACGTGCTCCCATCCAGACAGTGTCTCTATCAGGGAAGACCTTGCATATTTCAGCAAGACAATGCTAAACCACATACTGCATCCATCACAAATAGCATGGTTTCACAGAAGAACAGTCCGGGTGCTGAACTGGCCTGCCTGCAGTCCAGACCTTTCACCAATAGAAAACATTTGGCGCATCATGAAATGAAAAATCCTGCAAAGACGACCCAACGAAGATCCAGGACTGTCAAGCAGCTACAATCCTACATCAGACAAGAATGAGACAACGTTCCTCTCCCAAAACTCCAGCGATTGGTCTCCTCACTTCCCAGACGTTTACAGACTGTTGTTAAAGAAGAGGGGATGCTACACAATGGTAGACTCGGCCCTGTCCCAACTTTTTTGAGATGTGTTGCTGCCATCAAGTTTAAAATGAGTTAATGTTTTTCATGAAATGGTAAAATGTCTCACTTTCAACATCTGATATGTGTTCTGTGTTCTATTGTGAATAAAATATGGGTCTAATGAGATTTGAAAATCATATTTTATCTTATTTTATTTACACTTATTTATGCTTTACACAGTGTCCCAACTTTTTTGGAATTGGTGTTGTACATTGTGATCTAACATACTACTGATATATATTATCTTTACTATTAAACACTGTTATACGCTACTTATACTACTTAGATTATTTAATATACTAATAATATATCATCGCTGTCCAAAAAAAAAAAAAATTCTACATCAGTTTAACACACCAGCTGTAGTGCACTATTATAATGAAAATAAATCATTATAATGGAATTTTAACCACTGCTGTGTCTGAACTATGTTTACATAAGAAAAGTGTTAATATCTCCCTGTGTTCAGCTCTGATCTACATCTCTGAGACTGTTTGTGTTCCTCATTGGTCTCCAGATCTTCTCAGATCTTCTGTTAATCTCCTCTTTTCTCCTGAGGTGGGTTAGTTTACTCCATCCCTCCGCTACACTCGGGGTCTGACTGCAGGAGCACTGTAGATCAGATGCTTTAACACTTAAAAAGATGGTTCTTTAGAGGTTCTTTAGTAAAGGCAATGGTTCTGTTTAACCATGAGTTCTCTATAGATCCATTTCATGCTTAAATGGTGCTTCAGGTTGATGTGGAATGTGTTGTATATGTCCTCTATAGCACCAAAAAGGGTTCTGCTATTGTTAGTATGTCAAGATTGTAACAACCCTTTTTGGTTCTGTATAGAACCCTTTTCAAAAAGGTTCTATACAGAACCTTCTAGAGCACATTCTCCATTGATCGGAAGAACCATTTCACGATGCAAAGAACCCTTTAATCAATCAAAGGGTTCTTTGAGTGTTCAAGGTTCTATATTTTCTTTACTGAAGAACGCTTGAAGAACCATCTTTGTAAAGACTGTATGTCTAGCTTGTAATAACTGTAGAACCTGGTACTATATGTGTGTGTCTGTGTTTAGGTTTTAGCTGGATCCGTATGGCTTTTGGCTGTTCTATGTATTTTATTATTTATTTTAATACTTCGTTTACTCCTAACGCCGAAATATACCATAATATGATCAACAGAAATCAGCCAAAAACGAACGTAAAATAACTTAACCTGAGTCTCATGTTCGAATTTTCCGGTCCACCTTAAATGGCGCAGTTAAATTCCGGCGACTGAGGCCCCAGAACGAAACTGCTGCGCCACTTAAGGTGGAGCGGCGAATTCAGCCTGGTAAGAAAATATAAGGGGGGAAACAAACCAACACATATCTAGCTTGTAATAGCTGTAGAACATTTGTGGTCCTATATAGAACCAATTTTTTAGAATATAGAATTCGTGGTTCTAAACAGAATCATTCCCTTTAATAAAGAACCCTTAAAGAACCCTTAAACAACCATCTCTTTAATAGTGTACGCTTTATCAGTCCCTGGTGTCCGAGCCTCACTGGGCCACATTCTGTGTATGTTTATTAGTGTTCGTTGTGTTTTTAATGATTAATTAGTTTAATTAGATTAATAACTGGGTCGGAGTTTCGGCGGGAATCTCCAGCTAAACATCTCCCAGGAAACCGCGCCGTCGTTTCCTGTAAGAGTTGCGTAAATGAACGTGATTACGTACCGGATGACGTGACGGTTTCGACTTTAGGGCGAGGCTACGGGGGCGATATTTAAATCGGGCGGGGCTTCACCGAGCGGCGTCGTAGGAGGGGAGGGGCTACAGAGAGAGACGTTTTGAAAGGGGGCGGGGCTATGAAATACACAGAGACTGTCTCAGCACACATTATTATTATTATTATTCTTATTTTATTATTAAATTTCCCATCATTTTAGTTGTTTTAATAAATGATTTTGAATTAATATTCATGTTTTTTTTCTATTACTGCAAAGCTTTATCACCTGTCTGTAAAACACTTTGAGCTGCTATCGCTATGAGCAGTGCTCTATAAATAGATATTATTATTAGATAGATAGATTGATAGATAGATAGATATTTTATTGATCCCGAAGGAAATTCAGCAGCCAGTATGAGTCACACAACACAGTACAGTTACAATAATAAGAGTACAGTATAAAAAGAATAAATACAAAAAAAACTTTGTTTCTTATTATTACTTTATTTTACAGGTATATTTGTCTTTCCTTAAAGCTGCGTATATGTCATATAATTATTATTTATTTACGTATCTTAGAGTGTGTGTGATTGTTGTGACACTTTGACGAACGCAAATGTAAATTTGTCATGTTAATAAAGCAAAAAATTGAACTGTATTGAACACAAAACTCAGAGTGAGAGTAAGTTGGGCAGGGCTACAGACAGCGGCGTCATACAGAGGGCGGGGCTATAAAGAGAATCGGGCTTTGGAGATATCGTATTGAAATATAACATTGCCACCTTAAAGGGGAATACCACCTACCTTTCAAAATTCTTCCATAATTCAGTGTTTGAGATGTAAACAAAGTCATTCAGAGTTGTTTGACATTAAATGTTTCGTCCTAAAGAAACTTACCAAGTCAGATGTCTTTACAGTGGTGCTGATAGGAACCAGGGGTCGCCATGACTACAACACAAATATAGACATTTTATTTACTATCCAGAACCACCACTGAACCTACACGAGTCTTCTGAGTTTATATGGAATGTTGATGATGGAAAATAGTGGAAAATCTGAAATAATAAGTTTTCTTTGGGGACTATTTTGCCTCACAGCGCCCTGCATGTATCCCTCCACCATGAATGGAGTTTAAGTTCTCTGAACTATCATAAAACAGTGTCTCAGTCATCAGGCAGTGAATTCATAACCATTTCATGTAGGAACTTTCTGTGAGGGAGCTTTTAGAGGTGGACGTCTGGTTCCTATCACCACCACTGTGAACAGTTCTGACTCTGTAAGTTTTTCTAGAACGGAGCGTTTCACACCAAACCACTCTGAACTGCTCTGAACCTCTCTGATCCACTCTGATCACATTATGCATTTTTTAAAAATTCAATACTTAAAAAAAAGAATGGTTTTATGTACAACCATGAACACTCAAGGAACCGTGTGCATGCTTAAATTGTTCTTTTTATGGTGAAATGGCTCTTCAGATTGATAAAAAAATGTGTTGTATAGGGTTCTACATAGAACCTTGTTGAAAATGGTCCTATATAGCACCAAAAAGTGTTCTGCTGTTACAAGCTTGACATCGTAACAACAGCAGAACCTTTCTTGGTGCAACACAGAATCACGTTCTCCATCAATCTGAAGAACAATTTAAGCATTTTTTGAGTGCTCGTGGTTCCATATAGAATCACTGTTTTACTAAATAACTCTAATGACGTCTGAAATATTTTGGATTTCCCTATAATAGAGTTTAATAGAACAAAGCTTCCGTGTAAAAAATGTACATGCATATGCATGAGTAGGGGGCGGGACAAGAGAGAGGGCGTCACCGCGGCGAGGGGCGGAGCTATAAATCTGTTTTTGAGCCGTTCCTCCGACCCATCGCCATTTTGTGCTTGTTTTGTGCTGAAGGCAGCGCAGCTTAAACCAGCAGATTAAACCCAAACCAGCCGCTCAAACTCCGTTACCGTCCGAAAGGAAAGGGAATCTTATCGTATGTCCGCTATCCAGAACCTCCAAACCTTCGGTAAGACCATTCAGAACCGAGTTTTTACCGACTTTACCCAGAAAGGAGCTAAGCTAACGCTAGCGCAGTGGGGGAAGGGCGGAGGGCTCTGAGAGAAAAACGAAGAAAATAGTTAGAAAAATACGAATTTTCGCTAATATATCGGCCACATATGTGTTAGTTTGATATATAGATGTTTAGGACTAGTCAACAATTCAAATAAACCGTGTTTGTGTTTAGGTTTTAGCTGGATCGGTATGGGTTTTGGTTATTGTATGTATTTTATTTCTTATTTTAATACTTTGTTTACTTCTAACGCCGAAATATACCATAATGTGATCAGACGAAACGATGACATGAGCCAAAAACGAGCATAAAATAACTTAACCTGAGTCTCGCTTTTGAATTCTCCGGTCCACCTTAAATGGTTATATTGCGGCGACTGAGGCCCCACAGCGCAACTGCTGCGCCACTTAAGGTGGAACGGCGAGTTCAGCCTCGTAAGAAAATATGAGCTGGAAAACAAACCAAATCATGTAGAAAATAGCAACCTTTTGAACTAACATGCAGTGTTGACACTCTAGCTGCGTATATTTGTTATTTAATTTAATTTTAACTTTATTTTTCTGGCTAAATTCCCATTAATGTTAGCTGGCTGGATTGTTAGGCCTCGACCTCTAACGTACTTATTTGTTAGCCTCTAATTTCGACGCCTCGCTTCGTTTTTTCCCTTTTTGGCTCAGCAGTCTCACATTTATTGACCACTGTGGCCCATTTTTATATTCCTGTGACCTTTATCTGTGTATATTGTCATCATAATCCTTTGTAAGTAGCTCAGGCCTCAGCCAGGTCTAGAAAATGTCCTGAATCTCTTGATTATATATAGCTTTTGAGCGATCACCCAAGAAATATGACTCCTGTAGATGGGTGGCTGTAGCTGGACTGAAATGGTGGGCTAAATATGGATGTTGCCTAATCATCCTGCTTGGGGGGGGTACAGGCCAAAGCCCTCATTACTAATCCTTTCGATTTAAAGGAGTAGTTCACTAAAAATTGACGTTTTCCTGCTTACATTGTTAAACGGAACGGTTATATTTAGAACTGTGAACCATTTTGTGCTTAAATGGTTCTTACATGGAGAAGCGTTTCTTCAGATTGATGGAGAATGTGTTCAACCTTTTTGAAAATGGTCCTATAGAGCACCAAAAAGGGTTCTTCTGTTGTGATAATGCCAGGCTTGATAATGCCTAGTGCTATATAGAATAGGTTAAACATGAAATGATTCTAAATAAACCCATCCTGTTTACTAAAAACCCTTGAACCATCTTTTAAGTGTACTTGAGATGTAGATTTGCTTAATCTAGTCTAATCTAGTAGAGGTTAGTCACTCAAAATGGTTCCCCTGTGCTAAAGAAGCAAACTTCACATCAATCATGTCTCATCTGATCGACTACATTTAGAATGACGAGGCGGGGAGGGGGAGAAAATTCCATTATTTTGTGAACTATTCCCTCTATTGGGCTCGGTGTAGCTGGGAACATGTGACTGCCTTTCCTGGTCCAGTTGTTTACACCTTCTGTTCTTCTCCCCCTCCTGTCCTGTTTCTCCTCAGACCCCTTTGCTGATGCAACTAAGGGTGATGATCGGCTCCCAGCTGGGACTGAGGACTACATCCACATAAGAATCCAGCAGCGGAACGGCAGGAAGACTCTGACCACTGTTCAGGGCATTGCCGACGACTATGATAAGAAGAAGCTAGTCAAGGCCTTCAAGAAGGTAAACCGTTTAAGCGCTGTTTTGCCGCGTCAGTCGTGAGGTTGATAGTTTAACATTGCATGATTTAAAACTATATAAAACAACCAAAATGGATATTCTTAAGATTGAATAGGTGCAATAGAATAGAAACCAGAAACAATGTAATAAAACACAATCTAGTAATCAAAATAAAGCCACTTTAAATGGAAATTTGGTTGCCAAGTAGCAGGAAAGATATATTTACACATGCTATATGAGTCACTGAGTGAAAGTCGGGCCCTTTTCTTACATAACCCTCTAACATTTGCAGAAGTTTGCCTGCAATGGCACAGTGATTGAGCACCCTGAGTATGGTGAAGTGATCCAACTGCAAGGTGACCAACGCAAGAATATCTGCCAGTTCCTGACTGATGTAAGTGGATTTTTTTTTTTTCTTTTGCACTTTATGGACCCAGATTAAGCCTAATCTAATGAGGCTGTCGATGGTGACGTTGCAGTTAGGCTTAATCTTGGTCCAAAACTGGCCCCGTGTTTTCACCAAGGCTTGTTTGTCTTCGATTGGAACGTAAGTGGTTTTCGTGTTTTATCTCGTTTGACTTTCTCTCTCCGCCTCTCTCAACAGATCGAACTGGCCAAAGAGGAGCAGCTCAAGGTCCACGGTTTCTAGAAGCGTCGCTGACCCGCCCCCACCCTGACCCCAACACTGACTCCCCCCTCCCCCTCGCTGGTATTCCCCCCCTCCCCTCCCCCAGCCCCGTACATAACAAACACTGAAAATGAAAGTGATGGCGTCTGACCTGAGACTCTCCAGCAGAAGGGCTTCGTTATCGAAAAGCCCCGTCCAGTTACATCATGGACAGTCAATAACACAAATAATGCGGGATGAATGGTGATTTATTATTTTTCCTCTCCTCTCCCCCTTCCTCCTCTCCTTTTTTAGTTAATCTTGTGCTTTCAAGCACAGTTTCATGTGTTTTGTTTTGTACAACATGTTTCAATAAAAATCCTCGATGCTACATTTTGCACAATCCTCCAGTTGTTGGTTTAAGTGGGGTTGGGTTGGGGGGGCAGGTTCGGGTGAAGACTGACTGAGAACATGATGTTTTGTGTTTTTATTAATTCTCCGCCGTAACGGATCATGTTTGTGACGTGGGTCGGCCTGATTATCATGGGGCACCGAGCGCGGAGAACCCACCTTAACTTTAATATTTGCTTCTGAACCTTTTTATTTTCCACTCTTATTTTTAAATATGCATAATTTCAATTTTCTAAAATTGTAATACCGTTTTGTTTTGACTGGAATAAACTAAATATCCCTTACCAGCCTTCGCTCTGCGGTCGTGATTTAAACCAGGCTTTTCTGCACCTCTTAAAAACAGCTGAAGGTTTCAGCGCCGCTACTGTAAGCAATTCTCTGGGCTATTAGTAGCTTCTGTTCAGGTCAACAGTAGAATCATGTTTCGCGTACGTGGGACCTTCTGGAATTGGGCTAAAGCCACCAACAGTTAAGCTAGTGTAGAGATTACACAGCATTCAGTTTGATTTACATTATTATTAGTGTAGCGTATGCATCTGCTGCTGTAATGATATGGTTTGAAAGGTGAGAGTACGGAGCTGGTCTGGTATGATGACTGTGTTCTGTAAGCGCTCAGCAGGTCCAGGTCTTTTTTTGAAATTCTGGATTGATTCCCAGAGACTATTAAAGGCTTTAAAACATTTCAAAGTGTGTGTATATAAACACCAACCAGTCCACCACTATATATATCTATATATATATATATATATATATGTATGTATATATATATATATATATATATATATAGCTGCACTCACTGTCCCTTTTATCGGCTCCACTGACCAAATAGTTTCACTCTGTAGTTCTACAGTTACAGACTGTAGTCCATCTGTTTCTCTGATACTTTGTTAGCCCCCTTGTTACCCTGTTCTTCAGTGGTCAGGACCCCCATGGACCCTCACAGAGCAGGTACTATTTGGGTGGTGGATCATTCTCAGCACTGCAGTGACACTGACGTGGTGGTGGTGTGTTAGTGTGTGCTGTGCTGGTGCAAGTGGATCAGACACAGCAGTGGAGTTTTTACACTCTTAGCAGAAAGGGTTCTATATAGTACCTAAAAAGGGTTCTTTGGAATATAACAATAGTAGAACCCTTTTCTGTACTAAAGAACCTTTGAAGAGCTTTGAGTGTGGTAAATGGAGCTCATATATATATATATATATATATATATATATATATATATATATATGTTATGCAGAAGCACAAGATATGCGAGGTAAGTGCTTCTAATATCTAATAAAGTGATATATGGTTTTAAATGTGTGGATGAAGCTTAAACTATTACTCAGACTGTAATCTCACTGTCTGAACGCAGCTCATTAGTGATGCTTGACTCCATTGAGATCTTTTAGCGTTTCATTAAAAGGGAGTTCATTTGTGTCCCACAGTGGATTCTGGCTGGAGAAACATGATTGTGAATGATTTATGAATATTTATCTAAGCCGCATTGTAAAGTGCAAAACATCTGCAGGGGTCCGAAAAATGTTTAAGAACACAACAGGAGCCGAACCACCACAACAGACTGAAATTAAACCCAATAGAGAGAATTAAGAGCTAAATATTAATGACTAATATGGAACTGAGGAGAAATAGATTACTGTACTCCCTAATATGAGGAGAAATAGATTACTGTACTCGCTAATATGAGGAGAAATAGATTACTGTACTCCCTAATATGAGGAGAAATAGATTACTGTACTCGCTAATATGAGGAGAAATAGATTACTGTACTCCTTAATATGCTTCAGCAGAAGATTTGAAAACATCTCAGTTCAATCTTATGTACAGCTGTGTATCATTAATATGACTTAGATTGTCATTATAGTGATTTATCATCATTATCTTTGGTCACAGTAGTAGTATGTTCATCTATATACAGTCTATATAGCAGCACCTATTATATTTTATTATATTATACTATATTATATACTATTATATGGCCAGTGAGTGTAGGTGGACATCAAAAGTGAGCAATCAGTTTCATTCTTACATTATTGTTTTTGTGCACTTTTGGTATTGTTTGTTTTCCTGTTTATTAAAGGGGAACTCCATTGATTTTCCAAAATTCCTGCATAATTAAGTGGTTAAGATGTAAACAGAGTCATTCAGAGTGGTTTGGTGTGAAACGCTCTGTTCTAGAGTCAGAACTGTTCACAGTGGTGGTGATAGGAACCAGACGTCCACCTCTAAAAGCTCCCTCACAGAAAGTTCCTACATGAAATGGTTATGAATTCACTGCCTGATGACTGAGACACTGTTTTATGAGAGTTTAGAGAACTTAAACTCCATTCATGGTGGAGGGATACATGCAGGGCGCTGTGAGACAAAATAGTCCCCAAAGAAAACTTATTATTTCAGATTTTCCACTATTTTCCATCATCAACATTCCATATAAACTCAGAAGACTCGTGTAGGTTCACTGGTGGTTCTGGATAGTAAATAAAATGTCTATATCTGTGTTGTAGTCATGGCGACCCCTGGTTCCTATCACCACCACTGTAAAGACATCTGAACCATTTCACACCAAACCACTCTGAATCACTCTGTTTACATCACAAACACTCGATTGTACAGCAGAGCAGCAACAAACGCCAACTTATCCGTCACTGAATGGAGAGAAATTACAGTTTAAGGCTGATTATTCAAACAAGTCAACTACATAACACACATCACCTGCCTTAATAATATCTTTATAACACCATATTATTTTACATAAGCATGACGTCATCAGTAATTAAAGGCCAAGAGGTGTGGAATAGTGTTTGCACTAATTGAGTTGTTTGTCAGAAATGTGCATCATTTCATATAAACCTGAGTCGTTGCGCTTTACATTCTTGCTGACCAAACCAGAGATGCTTCCAGCTCAGTCTGAACAACATTATCAACAATGATAATAACAATTTTATTAATATAGTCAACCTAAATAACACTATAATCAAAAGGTGATCTGACTATGGATATAATTATGTAATCATAACAAAATATGCAGTAATTAAATTAATAATGTCGAATAAAATTAAATAAAATAGAAAAGTTAAAAAATAAAAAAACTCAAGTAAAAGAAAAAAAAACTATATTGGTATGTTGGTATTAGGGTGTCACGTTCCGAGTTTGTCCAGTAGGGGGCAGCGTAGGAGTGCAGTATCTGTGAGTGACGGCCTTCAGAGAGCACTTTTACCTCCATCACATCTGCACTGTTTCTCAAAATAGGGAATAAATCCAGCCATGCAGTTAGCACCATGCTAATTGGTGGGGTATAAGCTTCTATTACTTCTTAGCAACGTTAGCCTCGTAGCTCCAGTGCTAAAACTGAAGAACTTCAGACACCAAACAGGTCTCAGCTGATCGACTAAATTAGGGGTGAGGAATTTGATTTATTGGCTGAAATATCACTATAAGAGTTAATTTAGGTAGGAGTGTCCAGTCTTACCCACAAAGGGCTGGTGTGGCTGCATGTTTTCATTCTAACTGAGCCGGAGCTCACCTGATTCTACCTGTCAAATCAGCTGGTCTCAGTCTTCAAACAACTGGGCACAAATCTGATTTCTGTCATATCCAGATTGTATCCAGATTGATTTTGCCCGTCTGGACAGCAACACTAATTTTTGCATATTGGATCCAAAACACATTTGGAGGTGGTTTGAAATGCAATTCCAGTCAGATTTTTACAGACGCGTCTCAGTCTGGACGCTCTGGACGCTCTGATCAGATTTCAAAGTGTCCTTTTTGTCACTCATAACACAACAAACAGCAACAATGTCAAATCCAGAGTGCTGAAGTGCTGGGATTCCAGAAGAGCTCCAAGGATTCATGATGATGAAGAGAGTTCAGAAGAGTCTGGAGGGGAGATGATGCTCCTCCGTCTCTCCTGCATCCACGCTTGAACTTAGCGTCACCAGCATAGCTACGTAGTTACTGATGCCTACGTCGTTACCACGACAACCCATGCAGATAGACTGGTGATGTCTGGAAACACAAATCCGATCTGATCGCCCGCAGATAACAGAGTGGACATTCGGCTCAGAAGATCTGACCTGAGAAACGAATCCGATTTACCTGCAGTCTGAACGCAGACTTAGTGATGTGTGGAATGAAAACCTGCAGCCACCCATTTATGTAGCGGCGACACAGAGGAGGCCATGGCTCCACCATGAGAAGGGCTCTTTATTAAACACCAAGCAGAAAGGAACATACAGAGCACTGACCTTGTGGGGGAGGTCACCACCAGCCACAGGCCTCACACCTCCGGGGACCAAAACACACCAACAACCCACATCCCCCAAAGCAGAGTAACACAGTAAACACACACCCTAAACTAATAAACAACATCAGCAACAACAGTACGTCCCTTTTCCAGAGGGCGCGTGCCTCTCCTGATCCTCCTGGCATGGCCATCAGCATGGCCACGCCTCTCGAGCTTCTAGAGGACACCGCCAGCAGGTAGCAGGTCACTACAGTGAGCACCTTATTAGGAACACCTCCTTGTTTCTACACGCAATGTCCATTTTATCAGCTCCACTGACCGTATAGAAGCTCTACGTTTAAAACACATGTAATAAACAACATCAGGTGTGTAACAAAACAAGATCCAGTACAATCAGTTCACAGAATCAGGAAATGGGTTTTTAATTTAGACCTAAAAGCATCAGTGGAGGGTGCAGACCCAATGTCCAGAGGTGCCGCAACAGCACAGGTCCCTCTTTTCTGTGGCTGTGAGAAGGCGAGCTGCTGCATTTTGAGCTAACTGTAAACAAGCTCTTGAGGACCTGCTAACACCCATGGACAGGCTGTTGCAGTAGTCTAAGCAAGATGAAACGAGAGCATGTATAACCTTCTCCAGATCTTGGGGTGACAGCAATGAGTTAATTTTGCCGACTGACCTAAGTTGGTAGAAGGAACTTCTGACAATGTAGTTCATTTGTTTATAAACGTCAGGGTCAAATATTACCCCAAGGTTTTCATATAGATATATAGATGAAAGAGTAGCACACTGACTGAACAGACTTTGGCTCATGCCACATTTCCTGTCAGTCTTTTTTCAGTATATTAAATTCGTCATAATTCTGCATTAAACTGTGTAGAAACGTTTATGTTATTTAAGTTTGTTCCATGCAGGTGCTGTATTAACGTTTCCACTCTGAACTCAGCAGCCGGTATCTGGTACAGCTGTATTGTCCGTTGGGGATGGACTAGTTTCAGCCTTCAGTCTCTCTAATTTCCTTAATCTGCCTGAAGGAGGAGCAGAT